TTGGTGATTTCAACCGATGTGCATTTTGTACGATATTGCAGACCTTGGTCTTGTTTTCGTTGTAATAAAAGTGTTTTTTATTTTATTTTTTATTTTGCACATCAATTTACAATGACATTATCAAATCTCACAATGCCCAGCGATATTTCAGCAGCCGTCATGTTTATTTACATTGGATATTGTAGTTCCGGTCAGTGTTGTAATTAATACGCTAAGAATTGTGTCTCGTGCGGCATGGTAATTATGGCTCGTGCGTCATGGTAATTAAAGTCCCATCAACGACACAGCTCTCAAAAAGGCTATATAGTGACAATGCCATGCAAATGTAAATATGTATATGTAAGAGTCCAGATTCTATATTCATAAGGTTTGCTGATAAGTTGCCACCTACTCGATGATTTTAGCTTATGAGACAAGGAACAGTACTCAAAGACAAGTTTTTATGATAGAATAAAACTATTCCTGGATGCCACCAGAAACTGATTAAACTGATGTAATTTTAACTCATTCACCCCTAGTCACCCCTGAATGTTCATACAAGACTTAAAAATTCATAGATGTTGGAAAAGTCTTAAATATAACTGTAGGGGTCAGTTGGTTTATGATGAATGAATAAATATGAATAATAATATGACTATTTAGATTCGTACATGTTTCATGTATCCTTTCTTATTCTCTGATAATTAACGCACGGTGACAAGCCATCAACGAAGACAAGTTTTACGAGCTTCTACAAATAATCAACCTTTTAGGATACTTATTTCATAAGACTATACACATGTTTGTTTTTTTAAATTACACGAGTATTTAATTAGATTAGGAATAAGGTAGTGTACTAAGCTGTGTTTTCGCTACCTTTGTACTCTGAATCAACAAAGCAACGGATAGCAGACAAACATATACTGTATATAGATCTACGAAGAAGAAACATATATATCACTGTGCTATACAAGTGTTTCCGTTTTTTAAATTAAGTTACGCAGGGAACATGTAATGTTTGTTTCACTTACCTGAAAAGCACGGCTTGTGTATAAATCGACTTCCGGGTTCGACAACTGTTCGTGTTTCTACCAAGAACTGATTTAATATTTAAATACGTAGCTTACTATGCATGAATGGATATATAACAAACATGAACTGCTGTGCTTGTGTTACTCACCTACACACGCTTACAAATTTTCGTAGTATTTAATGTGTGGTGAATAAGTGGAACAAACACATTTTCGAGATTAACATCATTTGATATACATTTACCAACCATTGTTACATATACACGTACTGCATAACATATGTTTCTTTTCAGCTTTACACGTTGCAGATACTATAAAACTAAATAAAACAAGTAGGGGTAAAATACCGCCGCCACATCCCCTTTTTAAAGGGGATTAAAAGGGGATTATATTTGACCTACGGTGATGACGTAATGTGACCTTTGACCTTAATCCCCTGTAAAAAGGGGATGTGACGTCGGTATTTAGGTCAGATGATGCAATAGGGCCGGAATGTATAGCCTAGGGGGATAACCTTGGAAAGACCACCCACATGCAGGAGGATCTAACCCCGGTAAACGTCATTGGAATGTAATAGCCTAGCGGCAAATCCCCTCTTTGGAATGTAAGGCAGATCCCCTTTTTGGAATGTAAGGCAGATCCCCTCTTTGGAATGTAAAAGTTGCAAAATCGAGGTCATAGAGTCAGTCCCTCATCCCTCACTCTATATTTATAGTTAACAGTGTCTCATTTCCTATTTGGATTGATGCCATCACGTTTATTTATAGATAGAAACAAGTTATGACAGGTTCACAAACAAGATTGGACACGTCCACCAACGCTGTGTATATATTAGTTCTTAAAATAAACAAGTCGCAACAGGTAATACCTTTTTTGCAAGATCGAACATGTCCACAGCGAGGGTAACATTGTGTATATATACCAAGCAAACATTTGTAGTCACCACTAATGGCTCAAGCGATCATCAATCGGATAGTCACAGACGACCTCACACTGACAAACATATCGCACAGTAAAGTAGACTGTCGTCTAGGTATCACACAAGAAATCATCGTGAAAAAGGACAAAGGAGAGCTGAGAATAACTTTAAAAGAAGACGGAAAATGCATACAAATAACAGGAGACTATTTTAAAAAGATACTGTTTCTGTTAGAGAGTTTACAGTGTGTTTGCACCTTAATACACTAACATGTCAGATATTACAACAGATTGTATCCGTCATTATCAGATTCAACCGAAATATCTGTCTATGATGAAATGTGAGGATCGATTACAAACGTTCCAAAACTGGCCCCAACAAATGCGTCAGACTCCAAACGAACTCGCCCGTAACGTTTTTTTTTTATTCAGGACATAGCGATAAAGTCCTGCGATTCTGTCGAAATCGAGCATAAAAAGTGGTCGACCGATTGTGTGAATTTACAAATGGTCATACCCCTACACCTCTATGGCTACACAGCATCGTACTAATAGATAATGGAAATATTTGAGGAGAGACTTTATTCCTATATGAGAAATCGTATCGAGGAAAAAGCTTATAAGAGAATTGTAAAAAAACTTGTTATGCTTAGCCTACGCTATGAGTGTGAAAAACGTCATATCGAAATTGTTTGTATGTGGTGGATGTGTGGAGGGTCAAGCTAACCAGCAAGGACACGACTGCGTCATGCTTGATAGTGAAGACATAGTAGATAGATATTTCGAAGAAGCCCTGTCAACCGTCAACCATTGAGAAGTGGAGAAACAGTGGCGTCAATTTACTATTCAGTCCTGTATTCCTTCACACGTGTTACAACCTTTAATGGAAGAGGAGTGTTTCTGTTCTGAAGACTATGTGAAACAACATTTCAGTAGGAACATTCTAAAGTTTGTGAAGAAAATAGACATTGTCAGACTGAGACTCTAACATGGCAAATGAAAGAACTGTGACAAAGAAAAAAAAATGATGAAATCATTCAATCTATGTTAGAGAGTCGCTTTATAAAACCATAACGTTTATTATTTTTATTCATTTATGTGGAGACTTCTGAGACATCAACTTGAGTATGTATTAAAATCTTTACCATCATTTTGTTTTTGTTATATAATTGTAAACGCGAACATTAATATGTATATTTAAATCATTATATTATGTGTTAACGAACATACTTTTTATCATAAGTATTATATTTTAACAAAATGTTGTTCTCTTTCATATATTCTGAATGACATAGATGTTCACGTTTACAATATATTACGTTACAGAAAATGTTGACGCAGCAAGAAAAACAGAGAGTGGATGACATTTATTATCATTTTAATAACGGTGGAACATTCTTAAATCCAACAAAAGTTCATCAAATACTGAAATCACAAGGACATAACTCTCCAGGTTTACATAAAATCAGACGATACATTCAAAGTCTCGACGATTACAGTCTACAAAAACCTGTCAAACGGTCATTTAAACGCGCACGTGTAGAAGTAGGAGAACCTTTCGAACAATACGACACCGATTTATTAGACATGGCGTCACTTGCCAAACATAACTCGGGTGTGAAATATCTGTTGATGGTTATCGATGTGTTCAGCCGCTTTCTCTGGGTAGAACCTATCAAAACAAAAACAGCAAAAGAGGTATTAGAAGCATTCAAGAAAATAATCGAGAGAGGTAGAGTCCCAAAGAAAATTCATTCAGACTTGGGTAAAGAATATGTTAATCGCTGGTTTAAAAAATATTGTCTCGATAACGACATTCATCATTTCACCACACAAAACGAAATTCATGCCCTCATGGTAGAGCGTGTTAATAGAACATTTAAAACCATGATATTTCGCTACTTCACCAAATTTAGGACCTATAAGTACATCGACAAGTTACAGAAATTTGTCGATTCGTATAATGCTACACCCCAACGCTCCCTCAATGGAACAGCTCCAAAGGATGTAAATGACAACAATCAAGCAGATCTTTTTGCTTACATGTACTTGAGGAAAAAGAAACTTAAATATCAGAAAAAGACATTTAAAACGAAAAAACCCAATCCCTACAAATTCAAGATAGGAAGTTTGGTTCGTATATCACATACGAAACAGCTCTTTAAGCGTGCCTATCAGCAGCAATGGTCATCAGAAATATTCAAGATACACAAAAGAGCTCTTATTCAGGGAATACCCCTATATCGATTGATAGACTTTCTAGGAGATACCGTACAGGGAAATTTTTATCAGTCAGAATTACAACGAGTCGAAAAAGATGAACAAACATTATGGTTTATCGAAAAAAAATACGCAAACGTAAGAGGGGAGGTCAAATCGAGTGGTTTGTCCAGTTTGAGGGGTGGCCCTCTAAATATAACCAATGGATCTCCGAGAAAGATATCAAAGACGTCACAGACAGCTAACATGTCACACTACGTAATCATCAACAGTAACAAGAATCTCGACTACTTTCCTAACAACAAACCATACCATTTCCGCTGTCAACTGAAATCACCCATTACTCTGAACGATATATGGAACGTAGCACTCGTTGACATCTGTATAACAACGAGTAATACAAAAACGAGAGAAAATCTATACATACATTGCGATCTCGTTGGAGAATCCGTAATTGATGGTGAGAAGCAGAATCTACTTCGAATGGTGAAAGCTCAAAAAGTTGCAAACTGGAGCCAAACACTTGACACTCCTCAGTACATTCCTGTAAAAAAGTCAGAAATCAGAGATATAGAAATATCTATAAAAGACAGTGACGGGAACTTTGCTTCATTCTTAAAAAATCCAGCAACGATTACACTTCAGTTTAAAGCCTACCCTTTTTACAGATGAATGTTTCTAACTTATACGTACCCAATGTGGGTAAGTGGCTACAGTATTATCGAAAGGTTACCGATGGTAAGATTAATCCTTATACAGATATACAAGATGTAAATCAAAGGGGTCGAGGTATATCGGACAACACAACCGAATTCATCATTCCCATTGACAAGTTTAGCAGTGACGGAGAAAAAGCCTTACCCGCACATAATCTCGACATCAACATGATATCACCGTCACAACAAATAATAGATCAGGCCAAATCAGAGTTAAAAAGAAAGAGAAAATTGACACCGTCTCAAGCAAGCAGGAAACATCGAAGGGTACAGACCGCTCAGAGAAAACCAACAAGTAACTCGGGGAAAAAGACAAAACAGGTTAAGAAACGTAAGCCTGTACAAAAACGTAAGCTTACACAAAAACGTAAACCTATACAAAAACGTAAGCCTACACAGAAGCGTAAGAAGTCTATTAAAAACGATTTATTATCATCATGGCTACAATAAACAAGGACTTATTCAGAGAAGCTCAACCTTCACAACTTGAATTTTTTGAATTACCACCAACACAGACAGCCGTCGAAAATGTATACTATCAAGACGTACTACCGATATCACAAATGACTGGTGATTCACCCATAGAATTTATCGTTTCCGGTCAAAATGGTATGGAATACATCGACATGAAAAATTCCTTAGTGTATGCTAAAATAAAGATAAAAAAGGCGGACGGATCAAATATCAGCTCTACAGAGGACATAGGCCCCGTCGATTTTTTGCTACCTGCTCTGTTTTCACAAGTAGATGTCACACTTCAAGGAAGAACCGTAACATCTACAACTGCTAACTATGCATACAAGGCATACATTCAGACATTATTGAAGTATGGAAACGGCGCTAAAACATCACAGTTAACGACACAGTTATGGCATAAAGATACCATCGGAGAAATGGATGATACAGATGTGAGGACGGGTAATAATTTAGCTTTACTAGAAAGAGCCGAATTATTCGAAGGTGGTAAAAGTGTCGATTTGGAAGGTCCCAAATTTCACGATCTATTCAGAATGGATAGATATTTACTCAATCAAGTCAACGTAAATGTGAAGATGTCCAGATCAAAACCAGAATTTTGCTTACTTTCCGGTGAACAAACTCCCAACTACAAAATTGAGTTTGAAGATGTTAGACTACGCATCGCTAAAGTCAAAGTGAACCCTGCCGTCATCTATGCCCAAAGTCAAGCCTTGACAACAACTACTGCACAATATCCATTTACAGAAAGTGTACTGAAAAATGTCACTCTTGCTGCTGGTGGGACTAGTTTTGCGTATGACAACATATTTCAAGGAATGAGACCCAATTTTATTACGGTAGGCTTTGTGAATGCATCCGCCATCACGGGGGCATACAATCAAAACCCGTGGTTCTTCCAACCATTCAATGTTACATCCATAGGTCTCTACGGAGGTAACACCATAAAATTGGATTATGATACAACCACTGGCCAAACCACCATTCCAGTCCTCAGGAACGTGTTCAAAACAACTGGGAGATGGCTATCTGATTGTGGATTAGATATCGACAGGGAGAGCATTTCCAGCGGTTATTCGTTATACACATTTAATTTGGAGCCCATTTTTCAAGGGAATCAGTATCCCACCTTATTAAAACAAGGAAACGTCAGACTGGAAGTCGCATTTGGAAGTACACTATCCAAAGCCATCAGCTGCATCGTCTACGCCGAGTATCCAGGCTATTTCGAAATCAACGCTGCAAGAGACATTTTAAAACCATGAACACCAAACAACTTCGTTGCGCCATCGATTGTGATCCCATCATGAAAGAACTAAACATAGGTGTATATGCGAGGGATCACATACCGAAAAACATAGAACAATTTCAAACTGGATATATTGTAAATACTGACAAAAGTCATCAACCCGGTCGACATTGGGTGGCTTATTTTATGGAATCGGCAACAAAAAATGTTTTTTTTGATAGCTATGGTCATCCACCACAATACTTTTCGCTCCCAAACTGTACATCTTTTAATGTAACACGATTACAGAGTGTCAGATCTAACGTGTGTGGACGTTACTGTTTGTTTTATTTACTCAATCGATGTAGAAATGTACCACTTAGCACTATTGTTAATGTATTTAGTGATGATTATAAACATAATGATGAATTTGTGAATGATTATATCAATCATTCTTTTTCTTGTTGTTTTCAAACTGGTGGCAGGTATCAATCATGTTGTCAAGAATATCAATAAAATATACATACATCACTCACCCATGTGTAGTGTTAATCATGTCACAGACAAGTCTGGTCCCCATCGTCTGTCCCACCACGATACAGTTAGCAGGAAGCTCTGGAAGCGGTAAAACATTTCTGATGAAACAAATGTTAGAGCAGGCCGATGGTTTGTTTAGTCAACCTACAGCTAAGATCATGATCTGTTACGATACTTGGCAACCCATGTTTGACGATCTTAAACGAAATATTAATGAAATCACGTTTGTGAAGGGAATCTAAGACGAAACACAATTTGAAGAGTGGACTTCCGTTACAGACAAACATAAGATAATAGTACTAGACGCCTGTTTGATAGAAGGATCCAATTCCCTGCAGCTCATGAAAATGTTTTGCATAGGGTCACATCACCGAAATGTGACTGTCATATTTTTAGTACAGAACGCATTCCAGAAGGGGAAGGTCATGCGCACTTTAAGTTTAAACACTCATTACTTTATCCTATTTAGAAACTATAGAGACCAAACACAAATCGAAACATTAGGGAGACAGATGTTTCCTAGAAGGTTAGAATATTTCAGACAAAGTTACCTTTCTGCCGTTTCAAAAAGATATGGATATCTTTTTGTCGATGTCAGCACTCACAGCCCACAGTTGAATATCGTCGCCGGTCCGACAGAACTCCCCCCACTTCGTACTAGGATATTGCCGGGACAGGATCCAATCATCTACGAGCCGAAAAAATGAAACGTTTTCTCGACTTTTTGTTATCTGCACCACGACATCAACAGGTTGTTATCATAAACACACTAACAAGAGAACAATTGAAACTAATGATAGAAATAATCTATAATACGGTCATGGATAACGTTCCCATGTCAGACGAGGATAAAAAGATTGTATCTAAACAGAAACTTGCCATTCGTGAAGTGTTAGTCAGAAATATAACACCTAAGGAGAGGAGAAGAAGATTACAAGCTGTAATTAAAACTTTACCGATATTCATCAATAACTATCAACGATGGCAAGAGAACTCGCCCTCATGACGAAAACTAAATATGATAGATTAATCGCTGAAACAGACAAACCCAATGAAATAGATACTATAAACAAACTTGATGAAATAGACATTGAGAAACCTGATAAAACCGGTGAACAAAACAAAAATGGCATGAACCAGCCTGATGAGACTAAAAATGAAGACAAACAAACAAAGCAGAAAGGAAGACGATTAGCAGTAGAAGAGACACCGGAACGTTTTATGAATAGTTTACATAAATCAGTCAAGCGTAAGTGGTTATCTTTTAAGATCTAGTTTCCCCTTCTATTTTGTATCGCCATGTATAATCACATATCCAATATCCTCCTAGACATTCCATACATACCCTCTACACTACCACTGTGTATATAAATACAACTCACAACGATATCAGCTTATAGTGAAATCGACCACCATGGACGAACTACCTTCTATCGAACAGCCGCTGCGAGACTACTCAGATGGTGCCGTAGCGGAACAACTGCGAGAATTAAAAAGAGCGCTCGGAGAAGACAAGGAAAATCAACCCCCTACCAAATAACTAAGGTTGGCTGACTCTGAAAGTTACCAATGTCACGTCTGTGATAAACGAATCAGAAGATTGCATAACTTCAGAAGACATTTGGTAGGTCACGAACGACCGTTCTCGTGTACTCAATGTCGTGTTTCATTTACCAGGAAATAGCATTTGAATCGACACATGACGACCAAGCATCAAGATGGTGGAAACGTTTCAGCTCTACCTAGACCCACTCGCATACCCATACCTGGGCTCTCTCGTATACCCACACCAGAACCACCTCACATACAGTCTCCCACGCCTGATCCGTCTCAGTCTCCGACACCTGGATCATCTCAGTCTCCCAAACCTGAACCCTCCCACGCAAGGTCTCCCATAGTCGAACCTGTAAATACACATAAGTTTTCGGATGAAAGCAGCTTAAATGGCTCCGCTAATGTAAGATCCATCTACCCTAACGAAGCTGACAATGCTGACTTACTTACCTTCTTTAGCAACACCAAAGAAGAAGTTGTGAAACATATCACAAAGCAGTGTCATTCTTTACACGGGATCAAGTGGTACCTCTGTGTACAGGTGGAGCTAGAAAAGGAAGATAAAGAAGGCAACAAACAACAATCCTACCCTCATTTCCGGAGTAAAAATTACATGTATTTACCCGATGAAACATTTTCCCTCCATAATTTAAATGAAGCATTTCAGAAAATGTTTGTTTCATTCCAAGACTACATGAGAGAGGGATCTAATTGGAGACTGAAGAAAATAGTGAAACTGGAAATTAGTACTGCAAACTACTCGTCCTTGAGTGGTTCTTCCTACCTACCAACACCAGCCACTTTCCGATATTCAAGCATCATCAACATCGTCAACAAAGACGAAAAGTGTTTCCTGTGGTTCATCTTGGCTTCTCTCCATCCCGATCATCAGGTTCCGGAACGAGTGACAAACTACATACCATACGAAGCAGAACTGAACATGTCTAGGATACATTACCCCGTGACAATATCGCAAGTGGAAAAAGTTTGAAAGACAAAATGACATGTCCGTGAATGTGTTTGGATATGAGGATACGGATGTATTCCCCCTGTATGTTACGAAATTACGACAAGTACGTCATCATGTCAATTTGTTGTATTTCAAACAAGGTGAGAAAAGTCATTATTGTCTCATTAGGGATCTCGATAAGTTTTTATTTAGAACGAAATCGGCACAGCATAAGACTTATTTTTGCCATTATTGTCTTCAAGGGTTCATTAAAAATGACCTATTAGACAATCACATTCAGTACTGTTCTAAACATGATCCACAACACGTAGAACTTCCAAAAGAAGGTGAAGACATGTTAGAATTTAAAGATTTTGTGAAACCGTTGAAAGTTCCGTTTGTCATCTATGCAGATTTTGAAACTTTCGCTCGGAGAATGGATACATGTCTACCCAATCCAAAACAATCGAGTACGACTTTAAATACAAAATTCGAACCCTGTGGGTTTGGCTATCAAGTGGTTAGCATAGATAAAAAGTATACAAAACCTCCCGTCATTTATCGCGGTTCAAACGTGAGTAAAACTTTTCTGGAACATGTACTAGAAGAAGAAAAGGAAATCCAAGACATTTTAAAACATGTAGAACCTTTAGTCATGTCTCTAGAAAATGAGCGAGAGTTTCAAACTAGCACAAAATGTCACATATGTAGTCAATATTTTACGCAAAATGTTGTCAAAGTCAGAGACCATTGCCATTTGACGGGTGAATTTAGAGGGGCGAGTTGTCAGGGTTGCAATCTCAATTTTCAATATCCCTCTTTTATTCCCATCATATTTCACAATCTTAAAGGGTTCGACGGTCACATCATCTGTGAAAGTATGGGCTTATTTAAAGACTCTGACATTAAGTGTATTCCCAGTAATATGGAAAAATACATTTCATTTAGTTTGGGAAATCTCCGATTTATAGATTCGTTTCAATTCATGTCTCAGAGTCTAGAATCGTTAGTCAAAAACTTAGCTTCAGAGGGATTGGGATCATTTAAACATCTATCCAGTGAATTTTCTGTAGAGCATGCAAATTTGTTGTTGAGAAAAGGGGTTTACCCTTACGAATACGTGGGCAATGTAGACAGATTTGACGAAACGACATTACCTCCAAAGTCGGCTTTTTACAGTCAACTGAGCAAATCAAACATTAGTAAAGCAGATTATGAGCATGCACAGAGTGTTTGGAATACATTGAACATTCAAAATTTGGGAGAGTATCACGATCTTTATTTAAAGACGGACGTTCTACTCTTAGCAGACGTGTTTGAAAATTTTAGAACCATGTGTATGAATTATTACAAGCTAGACCCGGCTCATTTTTATACAAGTCCCGGACTTGCATGGAGTGCTGCACTCAAAATGACTGGAGTTTGTTTAGAATTGTTGACAGATCCTGACATGTATCTGTTTTTCGAGAGCGGGGTGCGGGGTGGAGTGTCCATGATATCAAATAAATACTCAAAGGCTAACAATTCCTACATACCAGAGACGTACGATTCCTCAAAACCTGACAAATACATTCTCTATACAGATTGTAACAATCTGTATGGTAAGGCCATGGCCGAGCCGTTACCCATGGGAGATTTCCAGTGGATTGACAATGTGGAACATTTCAATGTCAAAAACATACCCATAGACGGTGACATGGGATACGTCTTAGAAGTAGATTTAGAATACCCACCAGAACTACACAATCTCCATTCGGACTATCCGCTCGCTCCGGAAACCAACGTCATTTCTGACGAAATGTCATCTCCCCATAGTAAAGAATTATGGAAAATATTACACCCCAGTCTCAAACAAACCGACAACAAACTGTGGGGACGTGTTGCCACTCCTAAATTCGTACCCTCGCTAGAAAACAAGACGAAATATATCTGTCATTATAGAAACTTGCAGCTTTACTTAGAGTT